CTTCGTGCTCTATCCTGACCTTTGAGGAAGTGCTATATACATACTAACTAAATACTAAGTTTAAAATACTAAATAATAACTTTTAAATGAGTGAAAAACAACCCGCTGACAGATTCATCGATAGAAAAACCCAAAGACATCATGTCATTGCAGGCGTGCATGTGTTGACTTTGTGTTTAAGATTGGAGGAGACGGAAGTTGCGCTTCGGTGGACAATCATCAGTGGTTGTCAGCACTGCAACAACTATTAACCTCAGTGTGTGTACGTGTGCGTTTGAAGATATATCAAGAAAGAAGTAGGCCAATGCTGCTGTTTCCACAATAGTGAAAGTACAAAAGAAAAAGAAAAGGCAACATGAGAAAACACAATAAAATTCTGTCCGCTGCACGGTGAGGCAGCCTGAGAATATGTGCATAACAAACCAATTATACCTCATCACAGCTGCACGGGAATAAAAAGGCATCAGTGCATGAAATAGTCTATTATGATAAGAATTAAAATAGTCTATCAAGATCAGATCTAGTATAGTGTGGTGTGATAAGAACTAAACAGTCAGAATGCGAATGTGGTACACAGTCACATCCTTTGATATGTCTCCCAGGTTTCACATCTGTGAAAATGCCTGCCAGAGATTTAAAACAGTTATAACACAGCTTTGATCACATTAATGGCAAAGAAAGGCATAACTTTTACTGTTTCATTTGTTTGTGCTATGTTCACCACACCAAAAAGAGAGACAGAAACAGGAAAAAGTAGGAAGACAATCTGAAGATAAAGTCTTCATTAACTAAACTAAGTTTTGTTTTTTTCCAAAAATGACCCACATGGTTATTCAAAAGAGCTGCGTCTATCTCATTCACGCTCTCACTCACCAGCAAAGCTTTGATCGGCTCAGTTGCTCTGCCAACACAGGACCAGACCGATTTGAACTGCTGAAGAAAATCTGAGATGTGAATTGCGACGCAGAGGCCTGGAACCAGGCCTAGTTCCCTTCCCAGTGCGAACCTATCGTGGCACCCATTGGTTTGTGGAGTACCATTTTGAAGCCTCACGTTTGGCGTTATGGTCGTGTTGTTGGTTTTCTTGCTACCAGCAGGGGTATGGGCTGCGCTCATTGTCTGTGCTTAGTTTCAACCCGTATGAAGCAGGAAACAGTGACGGCTTGGAAGGTCACACGTTCTTGTATGACAGATAAACAGTAAAGAATGTTTCTCAAAACCTTTGAGGCGAGAAATAAGCAATGCAGTAACAAAATCTTTTAAAGTTTGATCAGCACTGTCTAGTTTGAAAGTTTAATCTGAGTTTTGTGAATGGCACTGGACCGACCGAGAACGTGATCATAATTTACAAAATTAACATCATAATGTATCGAAGAAGACTTGAAAATAGCATTAGTGGTTCAACATGGAGGACTCCATAGAAGGCGACTTGCAGTGTCTGTAGATATAAAAATCTCATTCTAATGCATCAAAAATACAAAGATTCTTATTTCCAGGTGATTATACACTAATGAAAACATAGTTATGCATATTTTATTCCACACTGGAGCTCTGAGTTACTTCCGCAATGGCTTCATCTCTCAGACCTGGAAGCGTTGTCCACTAATTATTCACTGTCAACAGTCCTCACACAAAATCAGATGCTTTGTACACCCAAACATCACAACACACTACACAACCTCTTCCTGTTGCTGCACATACATACATAAACACATACTGTTTTAAGCTGTTTGAACAACCACTGATGACCTTTCTGGTCTGTAACTGTGGATAGGTGTTGGATAATTTATGCTGACATTGTATCCCTGTTATATTGAAAATTTGTGCGAGAGACACATCAGATATGTGTGTGTGTGTGTGTGTGTGAGTGCCAGTGTGTGTGTGTATGTGTGTGTGTGTGTGTGTGTGTGTGTGTGTGTGTGATAGATGGCCTCTCTCGCTCTGACAGATGCTGTAGAATCACTCAGGCACGCCAGCCCGGCTGGTTACCGGGGGCAACCCTGTAAATCTGACATTATGGGCTGTTGACAGGAGAAACGGTTGTTATCATAACCCACAGTGAGTTACAGGAAACACACACATCTCTCAAGTTTTCAGTATGACAGGAATATAGCATTACACACACACACACACACACACACACACACACACACACACACACACTTACATAGATAGACTGAAATGAGGTATTTGGAGATAATTTGGATTTACAGCTCAGCAGCATATAAAGGTATGGGAAGTGTGTGATGTTACAGGGACGGTGTGTGTATGTGTGTGTGTGTGTGTGTGTGTGTATAGGTGTGTGTGTATAAGTGTGTGTGTGTGTGTGTGTGTGTGTGTGTGTGTGTGTGTGTTGGGGGTCAGAGGGAACAATGTCTATATGTTTTATATCTCAGCAAGAGGGATGTGATAGAGTGAAGTGATGAGTGTGGGAAACCTCGCGATGAGCAGGTCACAGGAAACAAGATATCATACCTGGCCCTCTCTAATCCTCCCCATGAAATGATCTATACACACACGCACACACACACACATCTATGCACTATACACACATGCTGCTATGCTTTCAGTTTCATGTCATGATTATGCTTTTTTTAACCAAAATATTCCCTCTTTCTCTCTGTCCATCGTCTTTCTCTCTCTTGGTCTTTTTCCCTCTTTCCTTCCCCGTCTGTCCCTCTCCGTCTGGGTGTTCCAGTAGTAATGGTGTGTGCTGTGGGAGCAGCAGGAATGGCCATTACCGTCCATGGATCACTGGCAGAGGCCTGCACACAGTGGACTCAGATGAGAGAGGGAGAGGGAGAAGGAAGGAGCGAAGGGGAGGTCAAAAAGGTACCATCCAGAAAAAAAAACCCAAAGGGGGGAAAGGAGAAGGGAATGAAGGGAAAAGATGGCAGAGGGAGCAGGATATTATTTCATGCAGTTATTATAATGAAGTCATTCCACAGCGTTTGTGATGATGGAGGATTTCTAAGTAGTAGCTGCGTTAAACCGCGCGATGGATTCGATGCAAATATAATCATACACGCGCATATAGGCTGCATTTTTTTCTACTTCTGACAGAATTTGGACGGAAACACGTCCAAACATGCCTCAAACCCACAGAATTATGGGTACTAAAATAAGGGTTGATTCATGAATGTGGCTTTATTTCATTTGGGAATTCAACTTAACATCAAACATAACTATTCATATTTTATCTAGTCGGCTTCTGACTGGTCAGATAGGCGGATGGATGAAGAAAATATCTATAACAGCAGGCTCAATGTCTTATTGGAAGGCATTAATAAACGGTCGTAAGTTTTTCCCCTTTATAATAAGCTAATAGACCTGTAGTGATTGATAAAGGGGTTTTCCCACTGAAATATAATAATCTTAATAAATGGGGTTTGGTCTGGATGCTCTGCAACTCTTTTTGAGAAGGTTATCAAACTGTCCACTGAGCAAAAACTTGATGTTCATACAACTAAGCAAATTAGCAAATGCCAAAAAAACAACCATATGATGGTAATTTACAGTATATTAAATGGCTTCTTAACATTTTTAAGGATTTGTTTAGGCAACTTAAAGCACTTGAGTTAGGTTAGGGGAGGATCGTGGTGGTGGGTAAATAACTGGTGAAAAAAATCAACACTGAATACCATCCAGGAAGTCCAGATTGACAGATCCATGATACTGAAGGTTTATTTGACAGCAAATCACTGAACTCTGATAATACTATGAGACAGGATTTTATAACACTGGAAAATTATCACACTCAGAATGTGCAATTGCAGGTGTGTGATTGGCCACCACAGCACCTTGCTGGATGACGTCATGTTGTTGTAAAAGTTGAGCCAAGTTCAACTTTTTTTTTCCTGTGGTTTTTGCATTGGTACCCCTGCTTCATCACATTTATAGGAATGAGAGGGGGTTTTTTTACCTACAGCGGTTCAGGCATACAAAATCTGCAGGGTCGCCCAACAAAAAAGCTGAATCTGGCTTTTGACACAACATCCAGCAAGGCACTATGTCAGCCAATCAAATATGTCCAAGTGAACATTCCTGGTTGATTACTTTGGAATGTGAACAGCATATTTGTACCTGTCGATCTTGCCAACAGAGGTTAAAATGATTGTTGCAGTGACTTTCCAGACTGTCAGAGTTGTAAAATCTTGTCTCATAGAAGGATCTTTGCTGTCTGATAAACCTTCACACTTGTGATTGTAGCCCTTGGTCTCTGTTACAAAGTAACATGTATTTATCAAACTAAGTTACATCTTTAAAAAATAGGTTCGCCATTAATAGGGTATTTCTGATGAGTTAGTTAGAGAGTAGTTGTGCTGGATTTCTCACAATCAAAAGTTGTTCTTATTACTTTGTTACTAATCTATAAAGCAGACATAGACCATTTATTATCCATTAATAAAGCTGTTAGTTACAGCTTATAAACCCCATAATGTGTGCCTAATGAGAAAGTGATGCAGGTAGAAAGAAAGAAAAACAAAGGAAGAGATTGTGAACACAAGGAAGCATATACCACAGCTCCTCCTAAACCAGAGCTGTAATGAGAGGACTCTGCATTTGTCGTCATTCAGGGTCTTGTGCGAGTCGCAGCATAGTGGCAGGTTGTACCGGCGCTGACCTTTCTGTTGTAACACCCCCAGTATAAAGGGAAGTGCCACACAAAGAGCTCTATTAACAGAGAAACCAGATATAATGGGGAAACAAGATGGGCCTTTAATGGGGACAGGCAGGGCTGTCAGCATGCATAATGTAACAGTCGTGTTAAAACAACACTGGGCTCTATGTGCTCCCCCTTTCAAACACACACACTCACACACGCACACGCACACACACACACACACACACACACACACACACACACACACACACACACAGAAACAACCTTATATGAGAGACCCAAGTTATTAATTCACACACTGGTCTTCATCTATGAAATATTCTCCATGCACAGCGCACATTTCTCTTGCAAGGATGGGAATCATTGTTGTGTGTAATTATGAAGACAATGTTCGGAGGGATTATCAAAGAAGTAAGGAGGAAGATAAGAAAGCGGCAGATGAAGAGGGTGCGGGGACGAGAAGAAAGGGAAGTAGAGGGGGATAGAGAGAACGGAGGAGGTGGTGAGAATGAAGAGACGAGGACGGAGAAAGGAGGGGAAAGATTACCCCTTCTCTCTGTTTGTCGAGCTATCGTTCCCTCTCCCTTCTCCCTGCTCCCCTCCTCCCTCCTCCCTCGTTCCTTCTTTCTCTGTATTAGCATGATAAAGACGTGGTGGAATAGGGCAGCCGGCAGGTCTTTGGACATGGAGACAATGCTATCGCCAGAACAGGCGTCTACAGCAGGGGAACAGTCACCGTGGGACTATACACTAACAACACACACACACACACACACACACACACACACACACACGGGTGTATACATGAACACACATGTAGCCACTGATACAAACCCATGTAGACAGACAAACATGTAAACACACACAAAACTGCGGATTATAATGCCCCAGGAGGACTTAAACAATACAAGGTAACATACAATCAAAGACAGCAGAGTCTCCGAACAACAAGACACAAAGACCGTAGAACATAGCAAACACATACAGCAGGAATATTCCTTTAATGGTTTCATTCGGTAGACCTGTATGATGAAGTATGTAAAACACTCCCTACGACTCCCAAACAGTATTTAAAAAGCAGATCTTTTCAGGTGGCTTCCTTCCATATAGTTAGTGACAGAAAAGTCTCTCTGACATGTGGCATGTTTTCGGGGAGGTTTTTTATGGGTAATTTTATTGCCGTACTTAAGTTTTAGAGGGCTTACTGAACAGAATGAATTAGCAATGGTGGACTGCAACAAAATACATTTATTCAAGTGCAATTTTAAGATTCTTTATTTGAGCATTTCAGTTTTATGCTACTTTAATACATTTCAGAAGTTTTTTTTTTTTATACTTTTTACCCCACTGTCTGACAGTTTAAGTAACCACAGATTAAGATTTTACACAGTACGTAGATTATATTAAATCTATAATAATCTTGTAAAATATGATGCATTGTTGTTGATTAAACTACCCTACAGTGAATAAAGTAGTAAGAATTAGCTCCATCTCAACCTGGTAAGTGCTGCGTGCTCAGTAAAGCATCACTTATAATACTTACTTCAATGAAATTAATAAAATACACCAGGGACACCTGCATGATGAGTCCTTCTACTTCTGATACTTGAAGTATATCTTTGCTAATGGTTCTGTACATTAAATTAATAATGAATTAATTAATTAGGGTTTAACAGCATCTAGCAGCGTAGTTGCACTCCTCCGCTTCCCCCTCCCCGTCCAAACAAAAAGGAAATATTACAGTGGCCACGAAAAAAAATGGGAATGCCCCTATTTAGAGCCAGTGTTTGGTTTGTCCCTTCTGGGCTACTGTAGAAACATGGCAGTTCAACATGGTGGACTCTATGGAAAACAAAAACACAATGATTCCTATACTCAGGTGATAATGCACTTATGAAAACACAAGTATGAATATTGTATTATATTTCTGCCAATAGATCCTCCTAAATGTTACACACTGGACCTGAAAGTGTTCCAATAAGCCAGCATGGCAAATCTAAATGGAATGCAGCCTATATTGATAGCATTGATCACACATGTGCTTGTTCTGCTATGAGATTTCAAAATAAATGCTGTAATAATAATAATAATAATAATAATTGTACACAAGCTTTAGTTTATTATTATTTTCTGTTTATCTGTTTGTTTTATTTATTGGGATTTACACATTTCTGTTGACAGTAAAGAAAGATTTATTATAAAAATTCGTTTTTTCACCATGCAGTGTTTTATTGTTGTCTTGTGTCTAGATATGAACTGATCATCTTAATAATTCAATGGAGGCTCATAATTACAAAACTGAGTAGTCACTTAAAATCACAATTTTTTATTGCCGAAAGAAACTAGAAAATGTAAACAATAGCTGGTCTTTGCTTTTGCATGAGACGGTTAAAGGGATATGTATGTCTGTCTTTTTCTCTCCCTATATAGGAGATTATCATCAGTCATTACTTTCCTCCTCCTTCTCCTTCTCCTCCTCCTCTACCTCATCTTCCTCATCTGTCTGTGTCATTCTGTCATTAATCAGTACATCAATAAGCAGCCAGTCAGACTAATCAGCGAGATGCACACAAACACACACACACACGCATACAAAAATCTATCCTCTACGGATGGTGACTCTTCACAGATCTGGAACGTTCTGCAGGTCAGACCCAGAGCCACAGGCCCTGCGGGATGCCTGACCACCCCGCCAGTGGAGCTCCAAACTGGGGCACAACGCTCGGTTCACTTCCCCTCTTTTTCTGGAGAAGAAAAGAAAAAACATTATGGGTCATGGCGAATATACACACACACACACATTTACACTAACGCACCTACAGTCACACTGGCGTGCAGACACATACAGTACCATGTGTAAACATACTGTATGCACCAGTATGGATCACGGCCAGTTCATGAGCCTGTGACAGTCGTCCAACCGTAACACACACACAGGCCACACGTGACACTCACACACACTTTCTGTAAAAACATACAGAACTGTACAAACACTGCAAAGTCATGAACGGGAACGAATGCACACAAGAAAATTCCATCTTATGGTTTCAAAGGCCCCATTCAGTGACAGTCATCAGTGATTTTCAGTCTATAGCTGGACTGATGAAATGTTTATTGAATCACTAATAAACGGGCAAAAAGCTGTTTAAAACATATTGGTGGTAAAACAGAAGCATTTATCTAATAATTTTCATGTTTTAGGAAGCAAATTCATAAAAACAGATGACACAAGCCACCAGCTTGGTGCCAGAACAGCAGCATATTAACATTTCTCCATAATAATAACATTCATTGTCAGCAGACCATAATAATAGAAAAGATAAGGCTTGTATGTTGTCTTACCTGTCCAACAGCCATCCACAAATAATCTGCTGCATTTGTTATCCTGATCACTTCTGCATATGCACAAATATCCTATTTAATTTAGGCAGCCCTTGCAGAAACAAATCCTGAAACCAAACCAAAGCTGGAGCGGAAAATGTCAAATTAGAGCAGCAGAGCAGGTAATAGTAAATAATACGCTCTCATTTTCCAAATTCAGTATTGAGAGAGATGAATGACTCCTCTCTGGTTACACTGTGTGTCTGCCTGGGGTTCACATCGCTCTCCAACAGATGGTAACAAACGGCAAAAACCAGCATTAGTTAAGATGAGTTGTTAAAAACTACATTAAAATGATGATAACAGAGAACCAGTATCTGTTGAGTTACACAGAAATGTCTCAGTTTTCAGAAAATTAATCAACAACTGTGTCTGTTATTATTAAAAAAGTCCCTTTATTTAGTGAATTCCACAGCAGCATACAGCTTTTAACCTTATAGCCTTCAGGATTTTACTTTTACACTATTTAGTGTTTTCTAGTTATATTGAATTGTTAAACATTTAAATGCATGTCATGTGAATTTACTTTTTGTTAATGTAAATTTAGTACAGAAATACATTACATAATTCAAGTGTTGGAGACGCAAAGAAAACTCAAATGGGCCAGATGCTCTTCATTTTATGCTTATTGAACATACATTGTGGTATTATACATCATAATCATACAGTTCGGCGGTTTGATCTCTGGCTCCTACACATGTCAAAGTGTCCTTAGATTTATGTGCAGGGGTAAAATGTACTGCACTTTATCACTTTGGACAAAAGCATCTGCCAAATGAATTAGATTTAATTTGATGTGATGTTAAACATGAAATAATAACTGAAAATTATAATTGACTGCTGTATAAGTGTATGAATAAAGAACATGTTTAAATCTTATCCAAGCATGTGAATGAACAAATGTAACCTCCCCACAGTAGCTGTTGGTAAAATGCAAACAACTGTATGTCTGAATAGAAAAAGATATTTTATTAGCCTCAATAATGTCCAAGAATAACACTGTTTTGGTTCTTTTGATCCAAGAACCAATGAGTTTCTCCCTGACTGGGTCTGTTTGGAGGGTCAGCAGCTGGATTTTATTGCTGAGTTATGAGCTGCTGGATCATTTCTCCCTGCAGGCACAGAGGAACATATCTTAATTTGGTATTTCTCAAAGGACCATTAAATTGTATATATTGTTTTCAAATCAATCTGTGTTTGTCTGTGTTTAATTTGGTCATGCTAGGACATGTTCTAATAAAACATTTTTTTTTTCCTAAATATGTTTAAAGTATGACATTATTAAATAATCCGTAAAAGCAAGATTTTCAACTGGTGTGAAATTGCTCTTTACCTTCTCATCACACAAACGAAATGTGCAACACTGTTCACCACTGGGCATATAAATCGCATTTCAGATTATTTTCTAGTAATAAAGAACAAATTAATTGTGATAATTTCATTCAGAATGCAAAAAAATTTGCTCCATATAATTGTAGAAACAAGATCCTGTTCAGTGTAAAATATGGGACAATGAGATACGGTTAGAAAAATGGGAAGTGGGAAATCTAATTTAATGCGAAATTTATGTTTAGTCCTATCAAGAAAGTGAGAAAGAAAGTGAAGTTTCTACTGTGTTAAATACGCAAAATTGCCTTCTGTGTATGGTTTGAAGGGGCTTTTGAAATATCCTCTCTTGGTAAAAAAATAGAAACTGATGGACAAAAACATCACCTCATGTCAGGACGTTTCGAAAAGTCAAAAGTAATACCATGTATAACACTAGGACTTTAATTTAAATCTGTAATGTTTGGGCAAAACACAAAAAAACCCACTTATTTATTTGGGCTGCAGATGCTCTCCATACTCTCCATATTGGGTCTGGTCACAATTGTCCAATTGACAGACCTGATGACATAGCATTTGATCACTTAAATAACATATTGATGAATTTCTAACGCTCACATTACCTGGTTGGTTGATGCCTTTTTTTTTTTTACCTCAGAGCACCAACAACAAAGCTCCATCATCACTCCAGCAGTTTGAATGTGTAGAAAGTTAGTGTGAAGATCACAGCCTTAAATGTATGGATTAAGATACACGACAAATATTCAAAATTGAGGATGTCAGTAAATAGTTGGTCCTGGTAAACACAGAATAGCAGTCAAACCTGCGTTTGATGGCATGTGTTGGACAGGGCACACGCACCTGTCCCTCAGTCAGTCACAGCTGCTGATAAACACAGCTGTCCTAGAGGGCGGTGACGAGGATTGACAGGCACAGGATAGCGTCAGTCATCCCACACTGTCTCTGTTAGATGATGTCATTGTGCTTCCTGGCACCTTGCTGATGCAGCAGATACAGAACGATCAAAGGAAGGCGAGCGAGAGAGTGAAAGGCAGCTCCATTGCTGCATAAGAGAGAAGGATGAAAGATGACAGAAACATACAGGGAGGGAGACTGAATATTGATGATGAAACTGTGTGCATGCATGTGCTTAAACAACCTGCTCTCACACCCGAGTTGTCAAATACTGCAGCTTGGTTTATGTTGGTTTATCACACGTAACGTAACTTAGCTTGCATACGTTATTTAAGTGACGTAAGTAATGTCATTATTTTAACTCACACCATGTTTTCCATGTTGACAAAGGTCACCTGACTTTTTCCTTTCCTGCATGTCGAAAAATCATAAAATGCAACATCTTTAAAGATGCAAAAAAGTTTAAAATGCATACACTCAAAATGTCCTTAAAGGTGGCGTGTTATTCGTACACCATCACATGATATCGCGTTGCAACTGAAGTGAGTCTTTTACTCAAATAAAGGACTCGCCTCAGTTGCAATGTTTATGCACCAGTTATTATTAGACACAGTCTTTTTTTTCTTCCCACTGGTTTGTAGTTTATTAGTATATATATGTTATAAAAGTCTCCACATTTCCTCCATCTGTTTTACTTTAATTTAGTATTGTGCTTCCATAAAGTTAGGATTTTAAAAATAACTCCAATAACATGTCCCATGATGCAACCCCTCAACCTCTCACCTCCAGTCTGTCTCAAGCCCAAGCCGAGATAACCCTCACGACATCATCAGGGTTATCTCGGCTTTGAGGGCAATAGTGTCTCCCCTTCCCTGGAAATCTTTGATTGTGAAACATCTTTTGTAAGAGTTCAAGGGGAATTAAACTCCCCTATTAGAGGAACAGTGAGTGGTGAGTGTGGCATGACTTTGTTGTCGTGTTGCTGAAAATCATCGTGTAAAAATGTAAATTGTATAAGAAATAATACATTCAACAAGATATCCTGAAATAAAAATAATCATGGAGGAGGTGAAGAACAATACAATCCAATGTTTCTTCCTCCTTATCAGTCTATTATTTTCACTCCATCAAGGAAAACCTGTTACTATGGTTACCCATATTAATATATGTTGCTCTTGATGTTTAATGTTTTGTTTGTGGAGTTCTTTTATAAGATATTAACTTGCCAGACATTCAGAAATGTGTTTTCTATGCCATGGAAGCTTTTGTAATGGCTTTATTTTTGATGTATATGATGTTTTATTTTGGAATTTACAACAGTATTGAAGTCCAGCAGGTTCACAAATAAAAGATCTGGTCTTTCTCTCTTTTTTGGACTCTTCTCTTCTCTCACTACATTTTCACTTCTTCCTGAATTGCCCCTCCACTCCACACTGAGGTGTATGTTTATGTGTGAACAGGAAAAAAGGTATTAAAGTGTGATAATTGGAGATCTCATCCCCAACACCTGTCATAGACTATTCATCACACAGTGTTCCCCCTGCCACACACACACACACACACACACACACACACACGTTAAAGATTATCCCTCTCTGATACGTTCCTGTGTTCACACAAAGAGCGTTTAAAGCATGTCTATCCCAAGTGCATGTTTCAGGTACACAAACACACACACACACACACACACACACACACACACACACATTCACACACAAACAGATACAAAAATGCAACTGAAGTCCCAGAGCTGAGTAGATATCAGACAGGCATTACAGCTGTCATTATCACATGTAAGGGGGTTTGCACACACACACACACACACACACACACACACACACACACACACACACACACACACAGAGAGAGAGAGAGATAAGTATGTTGGGTAAGAAGGCTTTTTTCCTTCTGAGACATGGGGAATGGCAGGCTGCAGGAAAAACACTGTAACAAATAAAGTCGCACATCTTCCAGCTTACTGTTCGCCCTGAACGCATACACATTAAATACACACACGTGCAGCATATACAAACCGCTCCTGCCAATCTTAAACACAACCTTAATCCATCTTTTATCCTTCCACCCATCTCCCCCTTTTCCTCCAACCCCCATCTCTCCCTCCCTCTGTATCCCTGTTCATTTTGTGTTGACGTATCTATTTCACATGGCTTTTGGAAATGGGATTGTTGCCTCAGTGTGTGTGTGTGAAGGGAGGCCACCTATTTCATCTCCAGCAACGTTTTTAATGCAAAATCTTAAGCAGTGCAGGACGTTCAGGAGAATGAATCATATCGAAATGCTCTGAAACCCAAGATTGAAGCTTATTGGTAATATAAGATAAATGTGTTTTCTAATGCTCTGTAAAGTCTAATTTCCAGTTTAAATGATATAATACTTTCATGTTTCAAAGAAATTCCAATATGCATACAGGAAAATATATTGTAAGGCAACATTTTTCATTTATTAAACATTTTTCATGCTCAGAAATGTCTGTCCTAATTAAACTACATTTAGTTGAAGCTTTTATTATAGTAAAGCATATCTGCTCATATTAGGAGGGAGAAAGGGGCCAGGGCTGTGTACTCGCTAGCTAAAATGCTAATTTCACATGCAGTTTCAAGTTTCTCATCTAATAACAATCCTGCTCTCTTTCTCTCTCTGTCTCTCTCTCTCGGGATGAGGCCCTCCTGACAACTATTTATCTGACCTCTGAACTTTGGGTTCCTGATCGTGAGACCACGTACAATGCGCCTGCAGCAGATGTACGCACAAAAACACAGACACAATTGAAAATTGAAAACAAGCAAAAAAGGTTAGGTAGCCTTCCATTAAAGATTATGGGGGACATATATATATATATATATATATATATATATATATATATAGAGAGAGAGAGAGAGAGAGAGAGAGAGTATAAGACGGAGGGAAAGACAAAAAGAGGAGAAAATAAAGTGAGGGTGAAAGATGGTGGCGGAAGTGAATGCAGAAAGAAAGAAACAGCTGTTCTTTAGTGTCCCTGTGAGGAGATAATCAATTGTTTTCACCTGGGGAGCAATAAATCAATGTCTCTCAGTAAATGTCTGTCTGAACACATGAATGAAACATGGATTTGCTCAAAAAACAATGCAGTAAGATATCAGACAATGTGGGCAAATCCAATACCGTAAAATACAACACATAGTAAAATATGTGATACTATGCTACTAGTATATTAGGATTAAATGGTGAAAGTACTCAGATCCTTTACTTAAAGGACCAGTGTGTAGGATTTAGTGTCATATAGCAGTGTAGTTGCTGATTGCAAAGCCCTCGCCTCACCCTCCAGTTACATGCGTGAAGGAGATACTAAGGTGGCTGCGAAATGTGTGAAAAGAGCATAAGATAATAAAAACACAACAATTCTTATTTTTCAGTTGATTAGACACTAATGAAAACATATTTAGGAATATTATATTATTATAGGAAGAGTAGGATAAGATGGAACAAGACAAAACACATAACATTACATTACATTACGTTACAATGATGCAATACGATGTGAGAAGATGCGACATATCATAGTACGTTATGTATATCTGTGTATACAACAGGATACAGTAGGATTAAATAAGACAACGTGTTACATTAGATTGTTTTGCATGTACATTGTGCATTATGTTACGAAAAGATACATTAGCTTACAACACAGCATGTTACAGGTTATGTTACATTGGGAAAAAGATACTATAGTATATGATAGGATACAGCAGGATTAAATGGGATATGACGGGATAGGATAAGACGACGCGACACATCAGGTTACACTGTGTTTTGAAAAGTTGGTAGAACACAAAATAAAGTGACAACTTAATTTTGATATTTTTCCAAATTCCGTGCGAAGGTTTCCTATTTTGTATCAACAGGAATATTTACCTCTTGAAAATAATGCAATTCACACCACTACAACAGTGTCTGTTAGTGTCTGGGTGCCACTTTTCAAACTTAAACACCTACTGTCCTAACTAGGTGCTTTCCCACATCCTGCACTAAGGGGTCTCCCTATCGCCCCCCCCCCGCCAACTCTCTCCTCTGCTTCCCCTCGTCTCTCATCCTCACCGCAGAAGGTGAAAGGTCACCAAGTCTACGGAAGCATCCTGTGTGGTGATGTTAGAGGGCAATGTTATGCTCCCCAACGGGACAACACCACACATAGACACACTCTCTAACCTGACTGGTTGGTCAGTCTGCTTGGGGGAACTAATTGTTTTTAGATGAGGCAACTTGAGGAGAGGCTCCGGAAGGGAGGACATGAGCAAAGGACTGAGGGAGAAGAGGAGGAAAGCAGAGGGCTATAAATTAACAATGTGCCGGATATTCAGTTTCCACATGGGTTTTGGTGAGAAAACTGCAGACACTTTATCTCTTTTTTTTTTGTCTCTGGGTGCCCCTCAACTGGGCCACACACACACACACACACACACACACACACACACACACACACACTTCAGCCCAAAATGTATTGTGATGCATTTTCTAAAGTGTCCAGTTGTCCATCTAGTGAAATTTCAATGATACCCACCTCTAAGAGCCACTCTGCAAAACAAACCACTCAATAAGCTGGAGGTAATGGAGACTGCAGGTCAGGCTTTACAGCAATATCATTACCATACACACTCTCACACACACGCACACACAGTCCCATTGTCTGGGCAGTACTTATTAGTGCCCATGCTAACAGAGTTTGTCCATAAGTGACCTTAATTAAGTGGCTAGCACCATTAGCTGCAGAGCTAAGAGGGTAAGAGCTATCCATCTGCATGTGAATGTGTGTGTTTTTATGATAATGGCTTTGTTGAGGTGTGTACTGGAATACTAACTACGGGCTGCACGCAACCCAAAATGGATAAATAGGCAGCTGAAGTTGAGCGTTGAAGAGGGGATGGTTTAGATAAGTTACTCATTGTGAGAAAGACAAAAACAGGGAGCAATGCCGAGGGCTGCTTTAAATGCAGGTTAGCCCCATTTACAAGCACAAATGTACTCACACGCAGGCACACACAGCACTCAGCTTTCTGAGCGCCTTTCAGTTTGCCCTATCATTTTTCATTAGTTATGAAAACAATCTAATCTCATCAGGTTTCCAGGTACAAAATAACTGTGTCATTGAAACATTAATAAAAAAAAGAAGAGTTATTGAAGATACTATATGTGATTATTGTTACTGATGGAACAAATCACTGTCATTGTCAAATTATGTACATTTGTTGTTTATTTCTATCCTTTTATCACATTAATAATAGTTGCTGTGTTGCAATTTAATGTAATCAATAACTGGTTCATTATTTTTCACTGAATTGTTATAAAGTCAATATTGTGGCTTTTACTCGATTATAAGTCTTATTTATATGAGTCATCGCCGTTGTTGTTGTTGTTGATGATGTTGCTGTAGCTAATGGATTCTCGCCCTGTTCGCTCGTAAACCTGCTAAACTGGGGTCACAGGGTCAAAGGTCGCTGCTCTTCCTTTGATGTGACCCTGACATCCTGAGAGGAAGAGGAAATGGAGGAGGAAGAGGATTCTTCATGGATTAGTGGTAAAACACCTCACACGTCACACACACACACACACACACACACACACAGTTGGTAAGGCTCTCAACGTGTCTAAATAATCTATCACAATACTTTCCCTCAACACACACACACACACACTCACACACACACACACACACACACACACACACGAATTATGACACGGACACTGATACCCTCAAATTTAATTATAGACTCCTTTGAGGTGTAAACTAAACTATTTGTAAAAGCTGTAACTGCCTAATTTATGAAAAGCTAAACAACAATTACAAATGAATATAAACCAGTTCCTGTGCAGTATGTAGCACATACATTTTTAAAGTGTCTGAAAAAGGAAGAAAACTAATTCACATAATTATCATCATCAGATTTCCTCATGCTAGTGTTTACAGCAGGATTCTGATACTTGATACTTTATAATTAAAAATACATTTGTTTGTACACAATAGTACATGTTTACTTTGTTAACTTTATGTTTGAAAACAAGACTACTGAGAGTCCGCTGCACTGCTAACAGCTCTGTGAGGTTGTGCTGTTGATGTTAAAGGAATAATTAGGAGATACAACTTGTGCAGATTGTGTTGCCTTTGGACAGAGCTGGCTATATTCTCCCTTTGGTTCCAGTATTTATGCTAAGCTAAGTTAGCCGGCTGCTGGCTGGAGATTCTTATTTGGTTTTACAATTAAAAGGTATAAAATGGTATGAACGTAACTCTCGGCAAGAAAGCAAAGAGGGTTTTCTATTTTTTAATGTTCATTATCTTACAACATTTGCTAATTATCACTATACACAAAGCATGGCTAAAAGGTTCGGTTACATTTTGTTGGGTTAGGTTTATTTGTTTTTGGCAGAAATCATTGCCAGAATTTTTAGGTAAAAACAAAAGTTTAATGCTTATAAATAATGTTAATTAAATAAAACTTTTTGAATAAAACACTCTAATTTTATAATAGTTATAAAATACCGTTTATAATATTAACCTTTATATGTTGAATGGTTTTGTATAATGATTACCACTTTAGTTTAGCATGTTAGTGCGGTAATTATTGCACAAGGCATGGCTACAAAGTTACATTTGGTGGATTCAGGCTTTTTGTATTTTACCTTGAAATACAACATTATGATTATTGTAATGAATGTAAAGTGGCTACTGCTGTAAGTTATTGATAAGGCTAATAAAAATGTAGCCAATCTACAAAAGCAAGCTTACAAACTTTATACATTCACAGGACAAAGTCAAGAGAGCGTGAACTTTCTCTGAGTGGAAGATGAGGGGAACGAGGTTGAAAGGTGTGCAATGTGTTTTTCTCATCGCGGAGCTCCTCTCAGCTGCAACGTCTAAACATAGAAACTGTTGCTTCAACTGCTTAAACAGCCTCGACGCAGCACTTCACACACGTTCTCGCCTCACCTCTCACCTTCTTCCTAAAAGTAATTCAGCATATTTAAATTCATTAGTAGAGCAACAGAGGGAGGTAAAAAAAACTGAAAAGTGCTTTACACGTCACAGAAAGAGACACACATGGGCTCACATACATCCACCCTAAAACACACACACACACACACACACACACACACACACACACACACACACTAAGTGGGGCAGATTACATTCTCCCCAGGACTTGACTTGCATTAAAGTTTAAATGTGTTCAATTTGGACGGTCCCAATATTAGAGTGGAGTATCATTACCCACCTTATTGGATGAGTCTGAGCAGAATAGATTTCTACTGATGAGATGAAGAGGCCTCAGGCACAGGCCACACACACACACACACACACACACACTATCTGTCTCTCTCACACACATATAGACACATAGGGACAGATGAGCTAAATTGTGTTCTTAGTAGCTTTTTTGGTCTTCTGTCACAAAATGTTCACATCATGATTTTGACTGTACCATAAATCCTGATTTATGCTGTATAAATGAAAATAATTTATAAATAAACCATTTGATAACAGCTCAAAGAGCGACTAAACATTCAAATATATATACTTACATAATAGGAGTTAAAGGAGGATCTGTTGGCAGCAATGGAAAAAAATATTCACAGATATGTTTTCATTAGTGTTTATTCACCTGAATACAGGAATCATTATGTCTTCGTTACCTTAGAATGAGCTGTTTTTATCTACAGATGCCGCAGGTCACCTTTAATAGAGGCCGCCATGTAGCGTGTTGAACCACCATGTTTCTACAGTAGCCCAGAATGGACAAACCAAACACTGGCTGTAGATAGGGCCCATCGACATTTCTCAAGATTCACAGCCTGTTCTCATTCCCAGGTCATTAGATACAGACACGAGTGGTGTTCAGTTAGATGCCCTGGTCCTTTAATATTTGATTAAACATAGCAACAATCATATAGATATTAATGTGTAGTGTACTTTTTGAAAGGTATAATGTTACATTTCTGTGGCTTTTTAACATGTGAGGATTCAATTTCTAAGAATATTGAGAACATTGATACAGTCTGGTCCTGCAGGGCCACTCACCATCAAAAACAAATCACAATGTCCTACCCACCAATTCATTTCATCAAAACATCATTTACAGGTGTTAGAAACTCCATCCCTCCAATCCTCACTGAATCTGACCCCTATTACAACCATTATTTGTGGATGCTGGCGTTTAATGTAGCATATAAAAGTTCTGACTTTTTGGATGATGTTCTTGACAATCAGTCTGGTAAATTATTTTGTTGTGTACGTCAACTACTTTCTTCTGCTTCTTCAATCTGTCAGAGTCAAAGCGTCTTCATCTTCCCTCTTTTACTTTCCAGACTTGCCTCCTGTCACTTCCCACCACTATTAACTGGAGCTTTGTCTCCGTCTTTATCCCAGTATATAACATCTCCTCAACCCTCAAACCTCCAGGCTGTCCTCACCTGAACAGGTAAAGACTCAAAGACACAAAATTATATAGACACAGAATATCGAAACAATTATTTATGTGTGCACAGGACGACTTCCTATGTGGCTGCTGTTGTCATGGACTCATGTCTGCACTAATGATGTGATCTTAACAGCAGCAAACAATAGAATCCTCTCTCTCTCTCTCTCTCTCTCTCTCTCTCTCTCTCTCTCTCTCTCTCTCATTTCACAAAAACGCTGTTTTCCCCCTGCAGATTCTGTCCTTTCATTTTCACAGATTCAGTATTTGCGGGTTTAATGAGGTGAAGTGTTGCACTATAGTGTCAGTGTTTATGTGGTTGGCTTGTTACTTGTTGTTGTTGCTCCACTAATTAAAAATGCAATTGTAGTTTATCTGAATGCCAAAAACTCTGATGTACTTTTATTTTCTCGTAGACCAACTTGAGTTTTAGACAGCGAGAGTGAGGACTTTTTTTGGAAAGTTAGGAATATTCTGGCCCCACGTAGGTTGAAGTTTAGAGTTATGTTTACTAATTAGGGTTGAGGTGAGGGTCACAAGAGCAGGATTAATGAGGACAAAGAGCGTCATCTCAGATATAGAAATATAAAAATCGACCAGACTATTAAAACATTGTTTATTTGCGTTGCTTTTGTTTTATCCAATTCAACAGTAGTCGGACATGCACGTTTTTAGGCACAGAAATAACAATATAACCCGTGACTTAGATCATATTTATTTAGAGTAATCTTCTTGTCTTCTTATTCTGAGGCAATTTTACAACAAATGCAGGTGTTTCTCCAAGAACACTATTCTGGTAGGTGTGAAAGTATTGTGACAATTTCACAGCTGCTCCAATGGTCTTAAAAGTAAAAACACAGGCTTTCAAAGTCATTTGCACATCAACATAAATCTCTCACATGACAAACACAGGCCCCTGAGATGGTCAACAGCCCGTCATTAAAGGCTTCAGACACAAAGCAGTAAACTTGCTGTTTTTGGTGAACACACTGTAAACCGGAGTGCAAAGTCAATACAGTGACGTGTAATATGCAAGTTAAGTGGACATCTGTGTGTTTACACCGCCATGTCATTTCAGTGCTGTGACAGTTAGCAACTTGTAAAGGAGCTGAAAATTAATGGAAACTATATTTACAGTTCGTTTTACTGTTAGATTTGGAGGGAAACTATGTTTTCTCAGAGAATCTGAGCAGCAAAGAGGATTTTGCTGCGAGAACTGAACACAAAACACAAATCTTAGTTAAATCAGCAATTCCAAAAGCTCAGAGACGTAAGTAGGAGGTTAGGGTGATGGAGGTAGATTTCTGATTTCTGACCATTACCATCACCGCCAGCTCTCGTTATGTGGTGTCCACTGCCGCCCGCTAAAGAGATTTTGAGTCTTCTTCTGTCCTGCAGGGGAAAATACGTTATTTTACTGTGTCAGTAACAGATATTTCTCCAGATGTCAGACCTTGCTTTGCTTTTATCTTGTAAAAAAACGATTTAATTTTCTTTCAACTCCATTTGTTGGTTTGATCTCCATCCTTTCTGGTTGGTCCTTTGTACATCCCGGGACCTGCAGTTCATTTTTTAACCAACTGCTCGCATCTTTGCCAAAGATGAAATTTGCATTGGGTAGGACTTGCAGAATCCCAATCCCAATGTAGTCCTCTAGATGGAGGAATCTTAAGAAGCAAACAACATTACAGCACTAGCAGAGTACTAATGAGAAGAGTCAGGATATAAAGGCAGCTGTATAGAGAGCTGAAGTCATGACACAACGTCCAAGGCTAGCTTCCCAACTAGCTTCTTTAACTCAATAAAACATGTTCCCTGGGTTTACTTTGCATTTGACGAATCAGCCTGCACTGCAGTGCTTGCTTTTAGAAGTTAAAGCCTATATGATAACTGCTGCTGCAATGAAAATGTACTTGTTTCATCGTTTTAACTTGGTTTTCGTCTACATCCATAAAATTCACTCATTTAATGTCATTTTCACAAACGTTTTAGTTGTAATCTCTGCTGTGTATAAAGATTTACACTATTTGCTCCTCTCAGTCCTGCTGTAATTGCATAAAGGACCCTATTAAAACTGCTCTGATTATTATTCTTAACCACAATG